TAATATTATATACAGAGTGTTCCATTTGAAAAATCAAAGTTGCTACTGCTTTCTAATAGAAGCGGCAACACCGCATTGTCGAAAATATTTTAGTTGGCTAGAGAATGTCCGAATATGCCCTCCATTAAATTTTCAAAGTGATCCGTTGTCTGGTTCACCAGAAACGTCTAATGTGCCATCCACCGTGAATCAGCCTGTATTTATCCATCCTCATAAACTTTCACATTCATAATATTATTATAGAGTGTAGTTTTGTCTTTCACAGCCAAACTACCCTTGAAGTCGGATGCGGGTTGTGGGTTCACAATCCCCACAATCGGCATTTATTTTCAAATTGGAAATATTATAGCTCTCGAGGAGAATCCAGAAACAAGCACAAGAGTAATTGCTGAAGCTGTCAATTCTACTCAGTCCACAGTCTGGAGAATTATCCACGATCAACAATTTTATCCATACCATATTCAAAAGGTACAAGCTCATCACAGCGTCATCACATGGTGTTAGAAAAATAGTATCACCCACAGTATTCACATTTTGAGTTATTACCTCCTGTGCTTCTTGCCTGATTTTATGAGCCATTTTTTCACCCACGGTTGAGTAATGATCAATAAATACAATAGCAATATCGAGTTTGTTAGTGATTATTGAATTATCTTCTGTTTTTATTACTTCCAGTTCGATAGTTTGACTTTTTTATGCTTTCCTGAAAAAGTAGATTATAGTACTTTTGGGTTATTTCTATTCTCTGTTACTTTATTGTTATAGTATAGTCTATCCATTCCCAATTGGAACGGCAATAAAAATAAGAGTACAGTCATGAACATTTCTTGCCTGTGGCCCCTAGTCGCCCAAGTAGTTAGTAAACGTGCTATCAGATGTAGTCGAGGAATAAATGCTCGGCTAGCTGGACTGGCTGAATACTAATTTTTTGTCCGTTTCACAATATTTCTTCATCAGTGCCGTGTGCTCGTGGGGGTTAGGTGAGGTAGTGAGTGGTTTTGCAAACCTATTTTTGAAAACTTTTTCTAGAGATCAATTACCCTTCAGGAGAAGCAAACTGGTACTGTATCTAAAGACACGGGTTAGCTGTTAATATACCTTAAGTTTTTTGGTCCGATGTGGAGTTTGTTTGTTAAATGATGATTATCCTAATTGATTTTTCGCTAATTAACTAGTGGAACCACTACCTGCAAATTAATTTGTCAACAATAGATTAAAAAGCGAACTAAAACATATGTATGTGAGAGTATTCTATACAATGAATATACATAAACTGTTAACTATAACTTAGCATAATGAATTGAACACAGCACAGATAATACAACCAAGATAATTACAGTGTCTTTGACCTACCAATTTTGGCATCTTGGAGCAGAAAATGTATTTTCTTTTCTACGGGTATTACCTATACATGTGGTTTCATTTTTATTTTGTTCTCAACGACTTTCAGAATAATCTTCTGGCAGTATAGCTGCCGTGTATCTAGGACATTACTTTCTTCAAATGAGATGTCTCTGGAGAACGTTCTACCTTTACCTTCTACCTTTAATTTTCAGAATTAGAATTATCAGTATGGTGCAGCCAAATGTAACTTTCATATTTGTATTATTTCCTGAACCCGGATATCACGCAGGTAGCTACAGCTGCCTCCGTGGTGATTTTGATAGTTTTCTTGTAAACACAAGGTCTGGTGGCTCCGTGCATTTGTATTTCTTGTATTTCTTTCTTTTGGTAACCAAGTGTTGCCCATCCTTACACTTGACTACACTATATATATATTATTATAAGATGATGATGATATAATTCGGCAGAGTCCAATTTCTGGATTTGATTTCAAGTACTTGTTATTTTCTTATTCAGTTCGTAGGTCTTTTCATTAATATATGCATATATTGTTTATAAATGGTTTAAGTAATTACCTTACTTTCCTCCAACGCTGGTGTGTTTATAAATGGTTTAAATAATTACCTTACTTTCCTCCAACGCTGGTGTGTGTGTGTGGTGTGATATTTCTGTGAAGCTGTAACTCGTGGATTTCTCACTCGACTTGGCTGGACAGGTAGGTTTTTTCACTGACTTTATTATTGCTAATCAGTATTTACTACTATTCAGTTTGATTCTTAATTCATATACTTTATATAATTCAAATTTTACGGAGAGTTGTCTCCCGTTTTTATGCAGAAAAAGAGTTATCATTGGATCCATTACACGCTAAATGTTTCTATTTTCAATAAACAGAACCATCAAATTTCAAAAATATATTTTAACTCAAAGGTATCATCAATATCTCCTTCAATTTCATTACCCCCAAACACAATTCTTACAAGAACATGGAATAATTTATCAATATCTATCGTCTACGTTCTAACCATACTTTCGGACCATTTTTCAATTGGATGGTGAAATGAAATACCACTTCCATTTCCTCTATGGATTTGTATTCTGTGAATATCTTGAACTCTCTGACAACTGTTGCAATAATAATTTTCATGTTGAGAAGAGCGTACTTCCAGCCTGAAAAAGAGATAAGCATTTCTATACGATATAATTCAACAGAAGAATAAGAGCTCCAGTGGCTGTCGAAATGGAAAAATTGAAAAAGGCGGTATTTGCAAGTCATTTGAATGTCCTGATATGATCTTCGAAATTGTTGAAACCTTTGCAGTCTTTAAGGAACCACACTCGACTCTGGCTTTTCAGATGGAACCACCAGAAAGTTTCCACTTTGTTCGAGTCTACATGTCACTGTAAATACTGTCACATATTATGGGAATGTTGGCTTTCACGGGTGGCGTCAATGTTTTGGTTGGTTTCTGGAGTTTGACGTGATCTTTTTTGGGTATAGTCTGAAACTGTGTCCGATAATTTAGTTGACAACGCGATACTTTCGCCTTTATGAAGTTGTAATGATGAAACTGAGTCAGCTTGGATAGACGCTGAAATGATTTCCATCTTTCGAAGAACTATCCCCTACTTCAGTTTTGTGAATTGCATCCCCAAAAAATTCACACCCAACCCTGTTGATATTGTGGAGAGTCCGAACTAGTGAAATTCATCACGAAACATTGTCAATCTCCTTCAAACAAATCATAGTCGATTGTTAGTCCAAGCAACTTGGTCGTTTCACTAGCATATACTTTCATGTCATTGTCTTTAAACATTTGAAACTGTTCCATAGTTCCCCTCAAAGTAAATTTCATCAAAGAGGTTTTAGATACATTTACCGTTAGAAGATTTATTTTGGACCACTCCATCACTTTATTGTATACCATATTGTATACCAAGTTCAGTAGTATCTTAACCAGTTATGAGCAGATTTGTATCATCAGCGTATGATATTACTTGGACTTCAGAGATATCAAGAAGGAAATTAATGAGATCATTAGCATACATTAAAAATAACAAAGGTCCAATAATTGAGCCTTGGGAAACTCCCTGTTTAATAATGAGAGGTTCGTTCTGAGTTGTGATGATGATTACACTCTGGGATCGATCAGTTGAGTATGATTTCATTAAATTCAAGGCTACACCCCTTATACCATATCGCTCAAGCCTAATTAATAAAAGTTCATGATTAAAACAATCAAAGGCCCGAGAAAAGTCAATAAATAACCCACCAGTTTCAGTACTTCAGCCATTTGTGAAACCATGCTGACTTGAAGATTGGAGCTTATTCATAGTTAAAAATGAAAACAGTTGATTTCTTATATTCAACTCATGAAGCTTGCTAAAGCTTGATAAATGACTTCCTCTATAGTTTTCCGTGCAGTGGGGGGCACTTTTTTTATATACTCTACTTTACTGGGTTTATGAACCCAGACTTGAGTTTGTCTGGGAAAATCCCTTTTTCTACTGACAAGTTTATTAGATAAGCCAGGGGAAAACTCACTTCATGACCACGTTTTTTAATTATATTAGATATCCCATTATGCCTACATGAATACGTGTTTTCAGGTTATGAATGAAATCTATTACCTCAAATTTAGGAATTGGGAATAAATATTGAACGTGAACAAATAGGTATAATTTTTTGCGTAAATTCAAGATCAAGTCTGACTTTTCCTGGACTGGGTGTAAAATTGAATTTCTCGACCATTTCTCTAGTGGATATTTCTGTTCCGTTCTCTTTTAAGGAAATTTCTGTTACATCACATTACATGTAACTTTCCGTGAAGTGTAACAATAGTAACGCTCTAAATCAGCATCGGCAACCAGATGTGAAGAACTTGTAATGAATATTTTTGCCAATGCTGAAATGAATCCACATGTTTCAGTTCGAGTGTTAGCGAAAGAACTTGGAGTTAATAAGTGCACGGTTTGTGGCTCAAAGATTTTGAACGTGAGTATTTATCGCCTGCTTTCAAGTTTTGATATTTGAAAACCCAGATGTCCTAATGATGCTGAAGTAGTGAAAGCACTTTCACTGGTACATTGAAAATACCATATTTGCTCGAACTATCACAACATATCCGGGCAAACAATGATGATTTAGCAACCATATAGTGCTTCTCTCCATGATTCACATAGGAGATGATGAACTCAGGTAAAACCAGCAACAATATTTATATAGTAGAAGCAGATCGTGCAAGGAAAGTCTACTTGCGAACACGTAACAAACATCACTTCACCTGAATAGTAGGACGCTCTCTAGAGTTAGGT